AGACTATGTGGATCTGATATGACAATTTATGCGAATAGTTAGTTAGTTAAAGATTAGCCGGTATTCTCCCGGCCCTGGGCCTTGTCCAAGTGGTGGCCCGGCCTTGGCTCCCTCTTTAGGGAGTGTCTGAGACCTAAGTCTCCCATGGGAGGAGGCACAAGTACCTCCTCATCTTTGGGACCAACTGTCCCCAGGCCTAGCCACAAGCTAGGCCTCTCTGGTCTGCCATCCCCGCCCCAAGGGGGCAAATGGGAATGACAGTCTTATGAGCTGAAGGCTCGGGATCAGGCACCTACCCTACCCTAGAAGGGTTAGGCATGGTGTCGATCATTTCTGCGAAGTAATGTTGTCCTTTAAGCATGCAGCCAATCACTGAAGTTCAACAACATGGGGTTTGTATACTAACTCCTTTAGAGACTACGATATGCCGAACGCTGCCAGATGTATGTCGCCAGCTTGTTTTTTATCGATTTTGCCGGTTAATTTATAACGTGACTTAATCAAACCAAGAATAACAAATATTTAGTTATTGTTTAGATAGAGCTGAAATTCACAAAATGTAATGCCTGCGAAAACAGGGGTTTTATTAAACTGACAGTATTATTGTCTCTATCTGATCTCATGTCCCTTGGACGTATTTATCTTTTCTCTGCTTTTTGTTGGTTTAATTGCAGTTAAAGATGTTTAATTATTTTAATGAAGTTGATTTAATACGTTATCTTTCTCTTTCAAACTTTTACTTTTGGCCTCATCATCTTCAACTCTCTTTTTTTTCATATACGAGCCTCTTAATAGTCATTTGCCCCAATAGTTGTTACAAATAACATTCTGTCCCTGATTCTGCTTTCTGTTTATCGTTGTTTTAACTCTCGACTTTTAATGGTATCACACATCTGATTTCTCTTATGGCGCCCTGCTCTGTCCGGCGGGTTTTTGGAAGGCAACATTTTTCCCCACCGGCCATGAGAAGTCTGTAGAAAGTAGCCTTTCCTGGATGCTACAGCATCCAGGAAAGGCATGTGCTCATCTGGTAAAGCATGCATGTGAGGGATGTGTTTATCTGCTGCAACATCCAGGTGAAGGATGTGCTTATCTTCTCCAGCATCCTGATGATAGATGTGTTCATTCGTTGCTCCGTCCCTCTAGGCATGTACTCATCTGCTACAGCAACCAGGGAAAGGAAGAGATAGTCTTGGCCTTGTTGCAGGTGCTTATGCAGCGAACATAGGTGCCCTCTCGTGATTCCTGTGTAAACAGTCGCTAGTGCCGCCTGTCTCTCTCCTCGTGTTACTTGATGGAACACTTCCAAGACTACACTGTCATCATATACGATGATCTCAGTCGTTTGCAACGTTAATTGTGTTGACAAAGATAGAGCCAAACTCTACAACTTGATGTCTTAGATATCTTCGAAAATTCAACTTCTTAAACACAGGTTCTAAAAAATACTGTTCCATATGACAAATTGCATTATTGTTAAGAATACGATTTATGAAGAAAAAAATGAACTTGATCAGCTATCTATTGCGTTACACTTGAATCTATGAAACATAAATTTTGTAATATTTAAAATTACAGTTATTTTAACCACTGCAGTTTCCCTCTCATATTTCATCACTTACTAGCTTAAGAAGTAGTAATTCCAGTTCTGTTGGAACTGGAATTGTAATCTCTTGGGAATTAATATATATATTTTTTTTATTCTCCGGTACTCTCCCGGCCCGGGTCTATATTTCATGTTTGTCTGTCTTGCTAACATTGAAAGTGCAATTTATTAATGTCATCATCAAAGAGAGTAAATATTTTTTTTTTTTCAAATACTAACTCCTTGATAACCAGCCTGGATATCACGAAACCAAGACACTGTACTCATACTAAGGCAAAATACAATTCGTATGACCTATGTTTAATTGAGCTACATTAAGCTGTGTTACATTAAATTTGTTTAATAAAGCTAGGTTAGGCGTTAAACTAGTTTATAGTGAAAGTTATATTGCACACATACACACTCTCAATTACAAACATACGTTCATACATACATACCTGCATACATTCACACACACAGCACAGAACACACCACACACACACACACACCACACACACACACACAACACACAACACACACACACACACACACACGCACACACAACACCACACACACCCACAACACACACACCACCACACACACATTGGAGGCTGAAGGGACACTGGGAAGACTAAACAGTGGGGTACACCAACAAGGGATATACCTACAAGTGTTGGATGAATTACACACAACTGAGGAGGAGGTGAAGAAGCTCCTAAGTGACCTTGATACCTCAAAGGCGGTGGGACCAGACATCTCTCCATGGGTCCTTAGAAAGGGAGCAGAGACACTACGTGAGCCACTAACCAAAATCTTCAACTCTTCCATTTGAAACGGGGCAACTACCTGAAGTATGGAAGAAGGCAAATGTAGTCCCCATCTTTGAAAGGAGACAGAAATGAAGCACTAAACTATAGACCAGTGTCACTGACGTATATAGTATGAAAAGTCATGGAAAAGATTATCAGGAGGAGAGTGGTGGAGCACCTGGAGTGGAACAAGAATATAAACGACAGCCAGCACAGATTCATGGAAGGCAAATCCTGTGTCACAAACCTACTAGAGTTTTATGACAAGATAACTGAAGTAAGAAATGAGAGGGAGGGGTGGGTTGATTGCATTTTCTTGGACTGCAAGAAGGCCTTCAACATAGTTCCTCACAAGAGATTAGTACAGAAGCTAGAGGATCAGGCACATATAACAGGAAGAGAACTGCAATGGATCAGAGAATACCTAACGGGAAGGCAACAGCGAGTCATGGTCCGTAATGAGGTATCACAGTGGGCGCCTGTGACGAGCGGGGTCCAACAGGGGTCAGTCTTGGGACCAGTGCTATTCTTGGTATATGTGAACGACATTACGGAAGGGATAGACTCAGAAGTGTCCCTGTTTGCAGATGATGTGAAGTTAATGACGAGAATTAAATCAGATGCGGACCAGGCAGGTCTACAAAGAGACCTGGACAGACTGAATGCGTGGTCCAGCTGTTGGCTCCTAGAATTTAACCCAGCCAAATGCAAAGTCATGAAGATCGAAGAAGGGCAAAGAAGACCGCAGACAGAGTATAGGCTAGGAGGTCAAAGACTGCAAACCTCACTCAAGGAGAAAGATCTAGGAGTGAGTATAATACCGAGTACATTACCAGAAGCACACATTAATCAGATAACTGCTGCAGCATATGGGCGCCTGGCAAACCTGAGAATAGCGTTCCGGTACCTCAGTAAGGAATCGTTCAAGACTTTATACACTGTGTACGTCAGGCCCTTACTGGAGTACGCAGCACCAGTTTGGAACCCACACCTGGTCAAACAAGTCAAGAAATTATAGAAAGTGCAAAGGTTTGCAACAAGGCTGGTTCTAGAGCTAAGTGGAATGTCCTATGAAGAAGGTTAAGGGAAATCGGTCTGACGACACTGGAGGACAGGAGGGTCAGGGGAGACATGATAACGACATACAAAATACTGCGTGGAATAGACGAGGTGGACAGAGACAGGATGTTCCAGAGATTGCACACAGAAACAAGGGGTCACAATTGGAAGCTGAAGATTCAAATGAGTCAAAGGGATGTTAGGAAGTATTTCTTCAGCGACAGAGTTGTTAGGAAGTGGAATAGTCTGGCAAGAGATGTAGTGGAAGCAGGAACCATACACAGTTTTAAGACAAGGTATGATAAAGCTCATGGAGCAGGGAGAGGGAGGACCCAGTAGCGTTCAGTGAAGAGGCTGGGCCAGGAGCTGAGTCTCGACCCTTGCAACCACAATTAGGTGAGTACACACACATACACACACAAACACACAAACACACACCCACACACATACACACACACACACACACACACACACACACACACACGCACACACACACACACATACACACACACACACACACGCACACCACACACACACACAACACTCACACACACACACACACACACACACACACACACACACACACACACCACACACACACACACACACACAAACAAACAAACACACACGCACACAAGCACACGCACACACACACACACACACACACACACACACACACACACACACACTCACACACACACAGAAACACACGCACACACACACACACGCACACACACACACACCACACACACACACACACACACACACACACACACACACACACACACACACACACACACACACAAGCGCACACACGCACACACACACACACACACACACACACACACACACACACACACACACACACACACACACACACACACACACACACACACACCACACAAACACACACACACACACAAGCGCACACAAGCGCACACATAAAATTTACGACACAATAAAAAATAGGAATAATTACTGGTGAAGGACTGGTCATGAAGCATACCCTGGCTCGGTGGTTGCTTTATTATGTTTAATACAAGGATCTTTAAGGCTGTATGTAACCTGCGCACCACTAATCAATGATACTTTTTTCTTTGAAATTGTACGTCAAGTGAACTCTTAGCGTATGTAAACTGATGGAGGAACACCTCTCGGTGTAAGTATCCTCTGTCTCTACCTATATCATCAAATCTCTCCTAGGCAGCATTTCTTATCTGAAGATTTCTAAGATATTGGTTGAGTTCTTGAGCATTTCTTCACATGTTTCACAGTTCTGGCATCCTCACAAGTTACACAAAAATTCAGTAGTCGGAAACAGTCTTGTTAGCGTTAAGACTGATGAGCTATGATCAGGCTACCAATTCTCGCTCCACTAGTGATAGTCATGCAAACCTGAATGTTTCCTGGTTGTTATCGGCTACCTCGATGTAAGACATATATAACCAATACATTTTGTTTTTAATTTGTAAATTTGCGGTTAAATATAAGTTCGTATAAGTTAGATGAAGACACTGTAGGTGTCAGGTGGAGGAGGTATATAAGATGGGGATTTGTTGTGTGTTCTTCCTCAGTTTGGGACGCATCCTCACAGAAGCAACACAGGTCAGTGCCATCAGTGTTGCTCACTCTCAAGGAAGCAACACAGGTTAGTGCCACGAACACAACTTACTGAACCTCTAAATATACTTAATTAATAATATGAATAACAAATGTATTATATTTGAGGTTGATTCGTCTGACTTTTCCCTGCTCAATACAAGGATTTATTTATAAATTTAAGAAATAATTTTTATTTTATGGTAGTGTATATCTAATAAAAATCCTTAAGATTTGAGATGTTGATTTTGCTCCTGATTAACTTATAGAATATTACAACTTTATAGTGTCGATTCAAGTACTAGCAAAATTAGTAATGATATAATAGTGAAGCGAAGAATTACAATTCAATGCCTAGTAATATCAACAGCAGCAAACTACCGAGTCAAAACGAGTCTCTTTCTTTAAGAAGACAGCAGCGGTGGAGCAGTTTGAGACAATACATAGGTTTATTAAATTGTCGCTTTTGGGAGTCTGCTATGTACAGTATGAGTTGCAGAAGGAAAATATGGTAAACGTTTACAGAACATGTTGCAATCTTCACAGTTAAGTCATTAAAAAACAAAAATCCCGTAATGCTTGCATCAGGTTCGAATCCCACCTATTCCCTGGAAAATGTTACAATCATTAATTACAATTTTTTCAGAAGCAGTGACAAAGCTTAGAGGTGCAAGAACTACAACAGGTAAGAGAGAATGCTGATGATAAGAGTCTGGCTATATATATATAAAAAAAATTGTAATTGACGCAATAGCTGTGTTGAGAGTTACCAGGCTTATTGTAGGCTTAATGTCCAGGTTCCTAGAGTGCAAGATTAGTATGCGATATTCCTCTGGTTCGAATCTCACGCATTACTTAGAGAAAAGAAGGTTGTATTTCATATTGAATCTACTGCTGTCTAGCGATAAGTGTGATTCCTTAGTGAATTCTAGGTATTTTACACACACACACACACACACACACACACACACACACACACACACACACACACACACACACACACACACACACACACACACACACACACACACACACACACAGGAAGGAAGGAAGGAGGAGAGACAACAAGAAATGACCGTGAAGTATGTGAGGAACTCAACAAGAGATTCAAAGAAGTGTTCACAGAGGAGACAGAAGGGGCTCCAGAAAGACGGAGAGGTGGGGCACACCACCAGGTGCTGGACACAGTACACACAACCGAGGAAGAAGTGAAGAGGCTTCTGAGTGAGCTAGATACCTCAAAGGCAATGGGGCCGGATAACATCTCTCCATGGGTCCTGAGAGAGGGAGCAGAGGCACGATATGTACCCCTAACAACAATATTCAATACATCTATCGAAACAGGGAGATTGCCTGAGGCATGGAAGACAGAAAATGTAGTCCCAATCTTAAAAAAGGAGACAGACATGAAGCACTAAACTACAGACCAGTGTCACTGACATGTATAGTATGCAAAGTCATGGAGAAGATTGTCAGGAGAAGAGTGGTGGAACACCTAGAAAGGAATGATCTCATCAACAGCAGCCAACATGGTTTCAGGGAGGGGAAATCCTGTGTCACAAACCCACTGGAGTTCTATGACAAGGTGACAGCAGTAAGACAAGAGAGAGAGGGGTGGGTGGATTGCATCTTCTTGGACTGCAAGTAGGCGTTTGAACAGTACCACACAAGAGATCAGTGCAAAAACTGGAGGTACAAGCAGGGATAACAGGGAAGGCACTACAATGGATCAGGGAATACTTGTCAGGAAGACAGCAGCGAGTAATGGTACGTGGCGAGGTGTCAGAGTGGGCACCTGTGACCAGCGGGGTCCCACAGGGGTCAGTCCTAGGACCAGTGCTGTTTCTGGTATTTGTGAACGACATGACGGAATGAATAAACTCCGAGGTGTCCCAGTTTGCAGATGACGTGAAGTTGATGAGAAGAATTCATTCGATCGAAGACCAGGCAGAACTACAAAGGGATCTGGACAGGCTGCAGACCTGGTCCAGCAATTGGCTCCTGGAGTTCAATCCCACCAAGTGAAAAGTCATGAAGATTGGGGAAGGGCAAAGAAGACCGCAGACGGAGTATAGTCTAGGGGGCCAGAGACTACAAACCTCATTCAAGGAAAAAGATCTCGGGGTGAGTATAACACCAGGTACATCTCCTGAAGCGTACATTAACCAAAAAACTGCTGCAGCATATGGGCGCCTAGCAAACCTCAGAACAGCATTCTGACATCTTAATAAGGAACCGTTCAGGACCCTGTACACCGTGTGCGTTAGGCCCATATTGGATTATGCGGCACCAGTTTGGAACCCACACCTAGCCAAGCACGTAAAGATACTAGAGAAAGTGCAAAGGTTTGCAACAAGACTAGTCCCGGAGCTAAGAGGTATGTCCTACGAGGAGAGGTTCAGGGAAACCAACCTGACGACACTGGAGGACAGGAGAGATAGGGGGCACATGATAACGACTTACAAAATACTGAGAGGAATTGACAAGGTGGACAAAGACAGGATGTTCCAGAGATTGGACACAGCAACACGGGGACACAGTTGAAAGCTGAAGACACAGATGAATCACAGGGATGTTAGGAAGTATTTCTTCAGCCACAGAGTAGTCAGGAAGTGGAATAGTTTAGGAAGCGATGTAGTGGAGGCAGGATCCATACATAGCTTTAAGCAGAGGTACGATAAAGCTCATGGTTCAGAAAGAGTGACCTAGTAGCGAACAGTGAAGAGGCGGGGCCAGGAGCTTGGACTCGACCCATGCAACCTCAACTAGGTGAGTACAACTAGGTGATTACACACGAACACGCACAAATGATAAAGCTCATGGAGCAGGAAGAGTGTACTAGTAGCGACCAGTGAAAAGGCGGGGCCAGGAGCTGTGACTCAACCCCTGAAACCACAACTAGGTGAGTATATATATATATAAAAATTTAATATATATATATATATATATATATATATATATATATATATATATATATATATATTTATATTATTTTATTTTATTATCACACTGGCCGATTCCCACCAAGGCAGGGTGGCCCGAAAAAGAAAAACTTTCAACATCATTCTCTCCATCACTGTCTTGCCAGAAGGGTGCTTTACACTACAGTTTTTAAACTGCAACATTAACACCCCTCCTTCAGAGTGCAGGCACTGTACTTCCCATCTCCAGGACTCAAGTCCGACCTGCCGGTTTCCCTGAACTCCTTCATAAATGTTACTTTGCTCACACTCCAACAGCACGTCAAGTATTAAAAACCATTTGTCTCCATTCACTCCTGTCAAACACGCTCACGCATGCCCGCTGGAAATCCAAGCCCCTCGCACACAAAACCTCCTTTACCCCCTCCCTCCAACCTTTCCTAGGCCGACCCCTACCCCGCCTTCCTTCCAGTTCCACTACAGACTGATGCACTCTTGAAGTCACTCTGTTTCGCTCTATTCTCTCTACATGTCCGAACCACCTCAACAACCCTTCCTCAGCCCTCTGGACAACAGTTTTGGTAATCCCGCACCTCCTCCTAACTTCCAAACTACGAATTCTCTGCATTATATTCACACCACACATTGCCCTCAGACATGACATCTCCACTGCCTCCAGCCTTCTCCTCGCTGCAACATTCATCACCCATGCTTCACACCCATATAAGAGCGTTGGTAAAACTATACTCTCATACATTCCCCTCTTTGCCTCCAAGGACAAAGTTATTTGTCTCCACAGACTCCTAAGTGCACCACTCACCCTTTTCCCCTCATCAGTTCTATGATTCACCTCATCTTTCATAGACCCATCCACTGACACGTCCACTCCCAAATATCTGAATACATTCACCTCCTCCATACTCTCTCCCTCCAATCTGATATCCAATCTTTCATCACCTAATCTTTTGTTATCCTCATAACCTTACTCTTTCCTGTATTCACTTTTAATTTTCTTCTTTTGCACACCCTACCAAATTCATCCACCAATCTCTGCAACTTCTCTTCAGAATCTCCCAAGAGCACAGTGTCATCAGCAAAGAGCAACTGTGACAACTCCCACTTTATGCGTGATTCTTTATCTTTTAACTCCACGCCTTTTGCCAAGACCCTCGCATTTACTTCTCTTAAAACCCCCATCTATAAATATATTAAACAACCACGGTGACATCACACATCCTTGTCTAAGGCCTACTTTTACTGGGAAATAATTTACCTCTTTCCTACATACTCTAACTTGAGCCTCACTATCCTCGTAAAAACTCTTCACTGCTTTCAGTAATCTACCTCCTACACCATACACCTGCAACATCTGCCACATTGGCCCCCCCTATCCACCCTGTCATACGCCTTTTCCAAATCCATAAATGCCACAAAGATCTCTTTAGCCTTATTTAAATACTGTTCACTTATATGTTTCACTGTAAACACCTGGTCCACACACCCCCTACCTTTCATAAAGCCTCCTTGTTCATCTGCTATCCTATTCTCCTATATATATATATATATATATATATATATATATTATATATATATATATATAATAATATATATATAATACTGTATGTTCTACAGAAATCTCAGTTTGACAGACTGTCTTCAAGTGTCCAATGAGCCTGTGCTCACTGCAACCTGTTTCCTGTTCTTAACTGACATGAGTGGAATCCGGTGTGGTCTTCTGTTGCTGTTGCCCATCTACTTCAAAGGTCGACGTGATATGCGTTCAGAAATGCTCTTCTGCATTGCACTGTCGAAACGCATGGTTACTTGAGTTACCGTAGCATTCCTGTCAGCTTGTGCCAGTCTGTCCATTCTCCTCTGACCTCTTTCATAAACAGTACGTTTTCGTCCACAGAACTACACTCATTATTATTATTATTAAAGATTCGCCGGTATTCTCCAGGCCTGGGCCTTTTCCAAGTGGTGGCCCGGTTTTGGCTCCCTCTCTAGGGAGTGTCTGAGACCTAAGTCTCCCATGGGAGGAGGCACAAGTACCCCCTCATCTTAGGGACCAACTGCCCCCAGGCCTCTCTGGTCTGCCATCCCCGCACAAGGGGGCTAATGGGAATGACAGTCTTATGAGCTGTAAGCACGGGCTCAGGCACCTACCCTACCCTAGAAGGGCTGGGCATGGTGTCGATGTTGAATTACACTCACTGAATGTTTTGTGTTTAAAACACCATTTTCTGTAAACCCTAGTGACTGTTGTGCGTGAAAATCTCATAAGATCAGCAGCCACTGAGATCCTCAAACAAACCTTCTGCCACCAACAAACATTCCTCGGTCAGAGTCACTTTGATCACATTATTTTCTCCATTCTGGTGTATGATTTTTAACAACTACTTAACCTCATGTCCATGTCTGTATGCTTTTTTGGTATTGCGATGCTGCCACGTGATTGGCCGATTAGGCGAAAAAATTACGTAATGAAATGGCCAATCACTATATTTACAGAAGCTACAAATTTCTCCTATGATTGGTGAATATGTCAAATGATTATAAAAACTGCTTTTCATAGATGTGTTATTTCTTAATTACAATTACTATAATATTCATAAATATGATGTATCTCCTAACTTGAGCAGATTGTGTTCTATTATCACGCCAAAATGTATATGAATACAAACTATTTTCAAAAGAAGTGCTGTTGTTCAAATGCATTTTTTTTCAGTGCTGGTTATTAATCCTGAGACTTTTCGGAAATTTACAACGATGATTCTTGTACCTTCAGTGTGGCAAGAGTTGTGGACGCCTCCTCCCCTTTAGCTAGGAATATATTTAAATTTTTACGTTCGCTATTAATATAATAACAGCAGAATTAGACTTAAAAGTAGATGCAGTAATAGTAGCTGCAATAACAGCGCTACTGTTCCACTGGTCCACTTTCTTCTCCGATGTAGCTGTGGAGAGTGTCAATATCCAAAACTCTGTATAAATGTTCCTTATCATCTCATGGTGCAAGGTTGCCAGCTGGTACAATGCTGTAATGGTTTTCCTTCCCAAGCGGAATTGTCTCACGTTGCAGGGCAACCCGGGTACAATAATTTGATATTTTCCGAACGTTAGGATCTGTTCAGCGGACGTATACTACTGACCTGAGATAATGCGCTCCTCACTAGCTTGGATGACGACACTGCTGGTGCTAGTGCCTGCCACATGTAAGTTAAGCCTTATTGTTTTTCATCGTTACTGTTCGAAGCATGACAGTTATCATCAAGTGTCTCATGTATGTATCTGTGTGTACTCACCTGTTTGTAGTTGCAGGGGTCGATTCATAGCTCCTGGCCCCTCCTCTTCACTGGTTGCTACTGGGTCCTCTCTCTCCCCGCTCCATGAGCTTTATCAAACCTCGTCTTAAAACTATGTATGGTTCCTGCCTCCACTACGTCACTTTCTAGGCTATTGCACTGCCTGACAACTCTATGACTGAAGAAATACTTCCTAACATCCCTTTGACTCATCTGAGTCTTCAACTTCCAATTGTGAACTCTTGTTTCTGTGTCCCATCTCTGGAACATCCTGTCTTTGTCCACATTGTCTATTCCGCGCAGTATTTTATATCATGTCTACCCTGACCGTCCTGTCCTCCTGTGTGTGTGTACTCACCTAGTTGTACTCACCTAGTTGAGGTTGCAGGGGTCGAGTCCGAGCTCCTGGCCCCGCCTCTTCACTGGTCGCTACTAGGTCACTCTCCCTGAACCATGAGCTTTATCATACCTCTGCTTAAAGCTATGCATGGATCCTGCCTCCACTGCATCGCTTTCAAAACTATTCCACTTCCTGACTACTCTGTGGCTGAAGAAGTACTTCCTTACATCCCTGTGATTCATGCGTGTCTTCAACTTCCAACTGTGTCCCCTTGTTGCTGTGTCCCATCTCCGGAACATCCTGTCTTTGTCCACTTTGTCAATTTCTCTCAGTATTTTGTATGTCGTTATCATGTCCCCCTTATCTTTCCTGTCCTCCAGTGTCGTCAGGTTGATTTCCCTTAACCTCTCCTCGTAGGACATACCTCTTAGCTCTGGAACTAGTCTTGTTGCAAACCTTTGCACTTTCTCTAGTATCTTTACGTGCTTGGCTAGGTGTGGGTTCCAAACTGGTGCCGCATTCTCCAATATGGGCCTGACGTACACGGTGTACAGGGTCCTGAACGATTCCTTATTAAGATGTCGGAATGCCTGTTCTGAGGTTTGCTATGCGCCCATATGCTGCAGCAGTTATTTGGTTGATGTGCGCTTCAGGAGATGTGCCTGGTGTTATACTCACCCCAAGATCTTTTTCCTTGAGTGAGGTTTGTAGTTTCTGGCCCCCTAGACTGTACTCTGTCTGCGGTCTTCTTGGCCCTTCCCCAATGTTCATGAATTTGCACTTGGTAGGGTTGAAATCCAGGTGCCAATTGCTGGACCAGGTCTGCAGCCTGTCCAGATCCCTTTGTAGTTCTGCCTGGTCCTCGTCTGATTGAATTCTTCTCATCATCTTCACGTCATCTGCAAACAGGGACACTTCGGAGTCTATTCCTTCTGTCATGCCGTTCACAAATACCAGAAACAGCACTGGTCCTAGGACTGACCCCTGTGGGACCCCACTCCTCACAGGTGCCCACTCTGACACCTCACCACGTACCATGACTCGCTGCTGTCTTCCTGACAAGTATTCCCTGATCCATTGTAGTGCCTTCCCTGTTATCCCTGCTTGTTCCTCCAGTTTTTGCACTAATCTCCTGTGTGGAACTGTGTCAAACGCCTTCTTGCAGTCCAAGAAAATGCAATCCACCCAACCCTCTCTCTCTTGTCTTACTGCTGTCACCTTGTCAAAAAACTCCAGTAGGTTAGTGACACAGGATTTCCCCTCCCTGAAACCATGTTGGCTGCTGTTGATGAGATCATTCCTTTCTAGGTGTTCCACCACTCTTCTCCTGATAATCTTCTCAATGACTTTGCATACTATACATGTCAGTGACACTGGTCTGTAGTTTAGTGCTTCATGCCTGTCTCCTTTTTTAAAGATTGGGACTGCATTTGCTGTCTTCCATGCCTCAGGCAATCTCCCTGTTTCGATAGATGTATTGAATATTGTTGTTAGGGGTACATATAGTGCCTCTGCTCCCTCTCTCAGGACCCATGGAGAGATGTTATCTGGCCCCATTGTCTTTGAGGTATCTAGCTCACTCAGAAGCCTCTTCACTTCTTCCTCTGTTGTGTGTACTGTGTCCAGCACCTGGTGGTGTGCCCCACCTCTCCGTCTTTCTGGAGCCCCTTCTCTCTCCTCTGTGAACACTTCTTTGAATCTCTTGTTGAGTTCCTCACATACTTCACGGTCATTTCTTGTTGTCTCTCCTCCTTCCTTCCTTAGCCTGATTACCTGGTCCTTGACTGTTGTTTTCCTCCTGATGTGGCTATATAACAGCTTCGGGTCAGATTTGGCTTTTGCTGCTATGTCGTTTTCATATTGCCGTTGGGCCTCCCTTCTTATCTGTGCATATTCATTTCGGGCTCTACGACTGTCTCCTTATTTTCCGGGGGTCTTTGCCTATATTTCTTCCATTCCCAGCACACTTGGTTTTTGCCCCCTGACCTTTGGTAAACATGGGTCATCCGGGGTTTTTTCTTTAAATCCTGTTCCCTTGGGTAAAACCTCCCCGCTCCTTCACATTGTTTTTCATATTCCTTCTTCTCATTAATCTTTTATGCAGTTCTCTGTCCCACAAACCCCGTTCGGAAATTTCCCTCTTCCCCGTGTAGTCATTTTTTTGTAGTTGGCTTCTTCGTCCTGGTCTTCCTGCTTCCCCCCCCCCACTTGTAGCTCTACTGTGTTTTCGAAGCTTAAAAACCACAGATCGTGGCCAAGGGGTTTTATATGTATGTCCTTTATATCTTTCATTTCTCAAGGTGAAAAAACTAGTCCAGTCTTGTTGGTTCACCCCCCTCTCTCTTTGTAGTGTCCCTTACGTGTTGGTACATGAAGTTTTCCGTTCCATCTCCATCGCTTAGCTCCCTGTGTCTTTGGCCCCAGTGGCTCCAAGTTCCCAATCGTTTTCCTTTGGTTAAAGTCACCCCTGTTTAGAGCTTTGCCTGCATGCATAGCTCTTCTGGCCACTGCAGCCATGTGTCAACCATCGCTTATTCTCTCCTCATATCTTGCCTTGGCCTCCTGTTTTTCTGTGGTGGGTTTTTACACACTGCAAATTTCCCCTTTGGGGCCCCAGAGTGAAATGTTCCCGCTATGTAATTTCTTGCTTTCCGCGTCTTCTTTCCAGTCATCAAAATTCCTCGTTTTTGACGCTTTCCCTCTCCCCCCCTGTTTTCCCCTTTTTTTCCTCGGATCTGGTACCATTGGAAAGATGGCACTGTTATCTCCTGTTGCTTGGTTTTTGTGAGAGCTATGATGTCGGGGGGATGCCTATTTGACTCTTTTTTGCCACTCCTCCCACTTAAATTTTTTTTCCATCAGCGTTTGTGCACATCCCTTCATTTCCTTCCAACACTGTGGTTTGGGGGGCCGTGAGGGTGGGGCCCGGTAGCATACTGTGGGTTTATAGTGGGGGTTGGGTGGAAACTGTGGGAAATGTGTGTGTGTTGTGTGTGTGGTGTGTGTGTGTGTTGTATCACCTGTTGAGGTTTCGGGGCGATCCTTGTCCTGCCCCTCTTCACGTGTGTTATGTTGTAGTATGTATGTGGGTGGGCCCTTTAAACCAAACTTTCCTATTTGACCTATTTGGCAAAGGACTTCTTTACCGAATCAGCAAAATGAAAATAAGTTTTTTCCGTAAATCGGTGAAAATGTATCAGAACATAACGAACAAATAATAGGCCGAATAAGGCAAGCGATAATTTGTGTATGCAATAATTTCGCAAAAATCATTCTGAACCTAACGAAAAAAATATATATTCAATTGTGTTTGTGTATGATTAAATTATTGTAAACTTATCTAAAATATATTTAGTTGGATTTGGCTAAATTAAATTGCGCTTGTTATAATAAGGTTAGGTAAGTTTTCTAAGGTTCTTTTGGTACAAAATTATTAATTTTTACTTTAACATAAATGAAAAAAATACATATCATCTTTAAACGTATAAGGAAAATTTTAGAACTTGCTTATTCGGCAAGTCTGCCTATTAGATATAAATATAAAAATAAATAAAATATATAATATATATAATATAAAATATATATATAATATATATTATATATATATATATATTTTATATATAATATATATGAAAGTATGTATGTATGTGTGTGTCGTGGCGAATAGGTAAAACTTGCAATTTTGGCTTAAATAGCAACGTTCATTGTTACCCTGATGAAAACCAGTTTCATTTTTTATTTTTCTTAGAAAAGTATAATTTGCTTTTTAAGATCTTAAACTTTGATTCCAAATCACTACTAAAGTGAATCACGATGAGAATATACATATATTGAACTTATTTAAAAAACACCTGAAATAGTTGCAGATTAACTGCCATCGAGTCCAGATTTAAATGTTTAAAATAAAAATTCTCAAAAATCTTTAAGTCTGTGCATAATCTCTAATTTTTAAATTTGACTTCTCATGTTTATGGTTATATTTTAATATGATTGGAACTGCTACTTTGTTTGGTTTGTCTAGACTCTAGAGGGGTAAGAATTTTGTGCTCAATAATTCTAATATTAAAAATGAAACCAATATGCATATATATACGTGGACCCCCGCTTAACGATCACCTCCAAATGCGACCAATTATGTAAGTGTATTTATGTAAGTGCGTTTGTACGTGTATGTTTGGGGGTCTGAAATGGACTAATCTACTTCACAATATTCCTTATGGGAAAAAATTCGGTCAGTACTGGCACCTGAACATACTACTGGAATGAAAAAAGTTCGTTAACCGGGGGTCCACTACTGTGCATTTGAAAACAGGAAAGAGGCAAGAGAATGTTTAAGTCTGACAAGACGATATTTTGTTAGAGTGAACTTGAATTCCCTTTCTTAATAGCTAGTTTGTGATAATTTAGGACACTGGGTCCTGTTAATATAATCTTATTTATCTAAAACGAAAAGATTAAAATAATAGACATTATGTTAGGCGAGAGTTTTTCATGTATGATCCAACAATTATTAAAATGTTTTGTTCTTAATGTGTAAATGGTTTAATTATTAGATTTGTTTAACAGTATCTTCAACGAAGTGGGAAAATACATCGTGAAAAATTTCTTATAACATGTTGGTTAAAGTGGACAGTCATCAAGCTACATTTCATTAAAATGTGAATCACATAAAACTCAGCGGTATATACACCGAAAAGTGTAAAGTGGATATCTCTCAGTGCATATAGATTAAGGATTTACTTATTTTTTTTATTATAGGGATTAAAATATCCATGAATGGAAGTTTCCAGGTTACATCTGGCCTTACTGGGCCTCTTGTAGTACGTAGATTTAAAGTTAAATTTCTGACATATAATCACATTCTGAAGAAAGTGAAGACATGAAACTGACCATAACTTTCCCTGCTCTGACCCAGCAATTAGTAAGGCCCGATGTCCTCGCTTTTGTCCAGAGTATTACCAACCAATCTGCGGCTCTGACAACATAACGTACGAGAACCATTGTAAGCTCCGTAAGGCTTCTTGTGGAGCCCGACAACTACTCAGGAAGCTGCACAACGGCTCTTGTAGTAAGTATGTACATAGGTTTTAGTCTTGCCACTCAAGTAATAAGTGACAGCATTTCAGTGCAAGTTATTGGCTCGCAGTCGAAGGGACCAGGGATCGATTCCAAGGCGGGGAAAGAAAAATGGGAAGATTTCCTTTCACCTTCTGCCTTTGTGTATTATCCGATATATATATATATATATATAATATATATATATATATATATATATATATATATATATATATATATATATATATATATATATATATATATATATATTATATATATATATATGCTCTTGCTTTCTATTTAATTTTTTTCTGGTCCTTATTCCTGTTTAATTTTTATATTTTTTCTAACATTCAGCAGAAACTAGAATGCAATTAATTTATTTATAATAATAAGAGCCCTTGCCTTAACATAGCTCTTAGTGATACCGCTCTTACACAGCGAAAATAATATCCGTTTATAGAAAATATAATGTTTCTTAACCAGTGTGCATTCTGTTTAAATGTAGTTTCATTTCTGGTTTCAGGTGATTAATGACTATTGTTGTACTTTATCAAGTTCTAGTCTGTTATTTTAAGGAGCTAGAAAAAAAACTTTTTAAAGGCAGCAGCATTTGTAAAAAATCGTTTAGACCTGTTCGCTTTAATATTTTTCCTCTGTTCTCCATTAACTCAAGAGGAAAATTAATAATTATACGTTGTGATTCAAAACCATTAAGTTATCTTTTAATAACAGGTCTTGAAATAATAAATCTTTTAATAATAGGTCTTAAAATAGTAAGTCTTTCAGTTATAGGCTTCGCAAATGTTGTTTTTATTGAGTTGGAAATATATCCATGTAAATTAGAACTATATATCATTTTTATTTTTCAGCAAATCTATCACAGACACAAAGCCCAACCTTGTGTTAATTACGTAATATAACATAACTTATTCCCAACCAGAGTATTTAATGTCAGCAGAAATTTAGTTGTCATTAATTAACTCCAATGAAATACATGAATCTCTGAGAAGTTTTAAGTAAATTAAATATAATCTATGCTTGTTGGACAAACCGGTTCATGTTTTATAAGAAGTTACTAACGGTAGTAATTTATGCAACTTGCAGTTGTAGAAAGTGACTTTCTACTTTCTAGAACCGATGACTCAATGTCCCAATGCTTGCATTTTGCAATATGATTATGTGTTTGGGAGGGACGGAAAGATCTAAGGCAATTCCTGATTCCTGGGCATCATGGAGTGCAACAACCCCCACTCCAACCTGAGCATTGCCTATATATTACTGTATATACATTTTTGAAGTAGGATATAAACCTAATTTTTATAATAGGTGGGGTCCGCTAAGAGTAGGTGTGGAAACCCATAGCTCTGGGAATGTAAAAAAAAAAAAAAAAGATTTCAAAGAAAAATATCAAGAATTTCTCCTTGAGGCTATTTGAATATTATACTTTTGCCACACGATAAGTATTAAGCAAGCACACACACACACACACACACACACACACACACACACAAGCATTTCTCACTTCCCAGCAACAGTTTCTCTCTTCCCACACTTTAGCAAGTAATAATTTACTTCCCAGATCCAGTGGCTCAGTGTCCCCAGGCTTGCACTAGGGAGTACCGGCCCGTATGCGGAACGGACGGAAACACCTACAGTAATGCCTGCGTCCTAAGAGCTAAGGCCTGCAACAACTCTCAGTTGAACTTGAAAGTTGCCTATGAGGGCGTATGTCGTGAGTTCTGAATTTCGTCTGCTTATTTATGTTTCCAAAGACTTTATACATTTAATTTTGCTTATATTTTTTACCTAATTTATATATATATATATATATATATATATATATATATAATATATATATAATATAATATATATATTATATATATATATATATATATATATATATATATATATAGGGAGGTACCACCTCAAGAACTGTCCTAGGGACCCTCATCCTCAGAGAAAAGAATAAACTTGCTTCAGGGAAAACTCAAGGTTCTCCTGATGCTGTTTGAGAATTTTCTCCTACACTCTATTCCTACATCCTCCTACATTCTATTCCTACTATATTTATTTACCTATTTATGTATGCATTTATGTATCTGTTAGGAAACGCACTCAAGCAGAATATTAACCATAAGAGTCCAGAATGGCGAACACGACCTCGAAAGCGAGTTACTAGAGTTTTGTTAGAATCACTTCTTTTCATTTTTTTGTGACTATGTTCTTCAGTTACAAGTGCAAACCGAGAGAGGTATCCCTTGTATAACATAATTCCTCCTCTCGGAAACCAATATCCCATTTTGTTTTTTCAAACTGGCAAATTTGTTACTACACAGGCTAAATTTCTAAATTTCTTTCTAAAAATAAGATACGACGTCTCTGAACGTTTCAAGATGATTAGAAGAGTTATTCTCAAAATTTTGTATGGAATCCAGTATCGACATATTTTTAATGAATTTGACACATTACTTTCTATACCTAACTAATAAGAACATTTCTGAATATTTGAGACACTTATGCAACATATGGGAATCTTTATTGAAGAAACGTTTCGCCACACAGTGGCTTCATCAGTCTTATACAAAGCAGGAAGGTATAAGGAGAGGAGGAGTTTGAGGTAATCAGTCCCTCAGCCTGGAGTCGATGTGTTCAGTCCAACAATCTTGTAGAAAGTACAGCACAGGGCCGTAGACGTGGCTTATATACTGTAGTCAGGTGAGGCGAAGCAGGAGGAGGAGGCGGCGGGGTCATAGTTGAACCATCCACTAGTCTAAGTAGGTCTTCGTCCAAAGATTGGACAAGTTTTAAAGAATTCTTTGTATCATCATGGAGAATTATTTTATATTAAATTCATTGAATTTATTAATGCCAGTTAATATAATAAGATGGCTTGGTTATAAGAAAACTTGTGACAATGTTTTGTTACACTGGCTATCACAGGGACTCAGTTACACACACACACACACACACACACCACACACACACACACACACACACACACACACACACACACACACACACACACACACGTATATACAACAGGCCTAGTGTCTAATCGACATGTGCCTAGGACAAAATGGTAACTAACAGCAAAACCGACAAACCAATAACCAAAGATTGAAATGTTGACACTTGTTGAGGCAGAAACGTTGCATAACTTTGATTCTGCAAAAAGTAGCTCTTTTTTTTCCCAGGCCTGGAAACTCAGTGTCCCGAAATATGCACTTTGCAATACGATCCAGTGTGTGGGACGGACGGAACGACGTATAGCAACTCTGTTTTCTGGAAACTGTGGCCTGCAACAACCCTCTTCTGAACCTGACCATTGCATACAGAGGCAAATGTCGTGAGTGCCGACTTTCGTTTGAGAGTTTATATTTTCTTGTTTTATTAATGAACATAACTATATTTTTACCTGATTTTATATAATCTCTTTCTCTTGATATATCATATAAATGTATTTACAAATACTCATGAACACAGAATATTTACCGTGAGAAGGATGAGGTTGACAACTACATTTGTGGAGGCAGAAGGACAACGCATTTATGAAACTGTATCCAGCTATTTATCTACTTATCAGAATTGACGACTCAGTGTCCCAACGTTTGTACTTTGCAATACGATCCAGTCTGTGGTACGGACGGAAAGACTTACAGCAACTCTTGTTTCCTGAGTATTGAGGCATGCAACAACCTCAACTGAACCTGAGCATTGCACATAACGGCAGTTGTGGTAAGTGTTGACATTCATGTAACTGTTTATATTTCCAAATTTGATAATATAATATGCAATGATTTTATTTCAACCATAATTTATCTCATGTATCTCAGGGTATACTTGGAATCTGTATTTACAACCACAACAGCCTTGTAAATATTTACAGTTGGGGGACCATATACTAGCGTGCCGATTCCTCGGTGACCTTGATTCCAGGTTCATCTAACAACAACAACAGAAAAAATGGCTTCCATATTCATACCCAATACCTTTGTGTAATAGAATAAAGGCAAATTTTTTGTTGAATGCTTAGTTCTCGGCCAGCCTCTGAGTAATTTAAATATTTTCACTACTTAAATTATATCACCATATACGTTTAATAACCGTGTATGAAAGCTTTCATTATTAAAACTGTATAGTAAATAAATCTTTACATTTAAAAAATACTAAGTATGAAAAGACAGGAATAAATTACCATTATTTTCATTTACTTGTTAAATCAGTTATCTGGTGATGACTCTGTAGCAAGTGATGCGCTACTTCACAGAGACGAGGATCAGTGTAACAAGCCTTGCACTTTGGAATTTGATTCTGTGTGTGGGACGGATGGAATGACCTATGACAGCTCTTGCTTACTGGAAATTACAGCCTGCATGAACCCTGACGCAAATCTAAGCATTGCCCATAATGGCTCATGTCGTGAGTTTTTACTTTCGTTTTTGTAATGTTCTTGTTTCCTGTTTTATATATTTTGAATGTTGTTGTTAAAGCATTTAACTACACATTTTTGTATTTCAGCGTATCTCTGTGTCTGTGCTTCCTTACGAAACAAAAGAATATTTAATTGGGTGAGCAAGATATGGAAGATAAACAGTTAACTGAGTTTAAAAATTTTGAGGAATCAGTTTTACAATGAAGTAAACTTATGAAGCAAAGAAGCAAACATCCATTCATCCACACACCTAAACTTACACCAATTCACACAATCATTTCTTATACCTTTCCCCTCCTTCATCTCTCTGTTTCCATAGACTTGAGCAAGTTACTCTACTTCCCAGAAACGACTCAGTGTCCCAAGGGTTGCACCAAGGAGTACCAGCCTGTGTGTGGAACGGACGGGAACACCTACAGCAATCCTTGCCAATTGAAAGTCGAGGCCTGCAATAACCCTCACTGGAACCTGAGTATTGCTCATGAAAACGAATGTAGTATGTCATAACATACGTGTGTTTGTTTTTGTTTCTTCTGGGTTTTTTTTCCATATTTAAGAGATCGGGATAATCAGTACATGGGAAGAGTGTTTGTGATACTGAAAACTGATACACGAGAACACAGTTGGAAGTTAGTCACAGATGTGTCAGAGGTGTGAAGATGGCTTAAATAGGCGTCAGGTCTAAGCAAAGGTATGATAGGGCCCGCCAGGCTTAAAAGGAGTAAACTCTTAATAGGCCAGTTTAAAGACAAGACAAGGTGCTGAGATGGATTGTAAGTGGGCAAGTGTAAATGTGGGATTTCACATTCATACACAAATGCACTCCCACCCACATACACAAACTCACCCGCCCATACAAACAAAAACACTTATTCACTGACATACGATGTTAACCTATATGTGGAGCAACCTGGTCAATAGTATTAGTGTTTTAGTGTATAGCTTTCAGATGGCTGTGAAAAAAAAGCAAATAATACGCAACAGAAGCCAAGTAATAGACAGGCAAAGACACTGATTATAAAGTAGTTGATGCCAAAGTAGTTTAAACTATTACAAGTGCACAAGCAGTTTGTACGTGTGTCCAGAGATGCATTAAAAAATCCACAAATATAGTGCGTAAAGCCGGAAAGAGTAGATGCACATATCTTTCATAGACAAGCATTCACGTACTCATGCACGCTACACACAGCACTCTCGCACACACACGGATGCACGCACGCACATTTATAAATATACAAATAATCCTATAAATGAATTCACACAGGAAATCAGTGTCGACCACTACAGAGTCTCTTAGTAAGTACACACACACACAAACCTACACACACACACAGACACAGACACAAACACACAGACACACACACAGTCTAGGGGGTCAGAGACTACAAACCTCACTCAAGGAAAAAGATCTTGGGGTGAGTATAACACCAGGCACATCTCCTGAAGCGCACATCAACCAAATAACTGCTGCAGCATATGGGCGCCTAGCAAACCTCAGAACAGCATTCCGACATCTTAATAAGGAATCGTTCAGGACCCTGTACACCGTGTACGTTAGGCCCATATTGGAGTATGCGGCACCAGTTTGGAACCCACACCTAGCCAAGCACGTAAAGAAACTAGAGAAAGTGCAAAGGTTTGCAACAAGACTAGTCCCAATGCTAAAGGTATGTCCTACGAGGAGAGGTTAAGGGAAATCAACCTGACGACACTGGAGGACAGGAGAGATAGGGGGGACATGATAACGACATACAAAATACTGAAGGAATTGACAAGGTGGACTAAAGACAGGATGTTCCAGAGAATTGGACACAGTAACAAGGGGACATAAGTGGAAGCTAAAACACCAGATCGAATCACAGTGGAGTTAGGAAAGAATATTTTTTCTGTACCTACAGAGTAGTCAGTAAGTGGAATAGTTTGGGAAGCGATGTAGTGGAAGAAAGGCAGGATCCATACATAGCTATTAAAGAGGTATGAATAAACATCACGGCTCGGAGAGTGACCTAGTAGCGATCATAAAGCAGGCAGGGCGAAGGACTCGGAGCATCACTCAACGCACCTCTAGACGTAGGAGAACTGTGACACAACACACACACACCAAACACACATCATAACATACAAACACCACACAACCAACACACAAAACACACCACACACACCAAACACACACACAACACACACACACACACACACAACCACAACACACACACAACACACACACAACACCTCAAACGCACACACACACAAACACATACACGCACACACACACCCAGGATCCATGCATAACTTTAAGATGAGGTATGAAAAGACTCTTAGAGCAGGGAGAGAGTGGACTTAGTAGCCACTAAATAACAAAAAGGCACAATATCATGGCTCTAACAAAAAATAAATAACCTGCACATGTGAGAGGAGCTTAGGACGACATTTCGGTCGGACTTGGACCATTTACAAAGTCACACTTACAAAAAGGAGAAGAGGCAGTATATATAGGCCAGCAGAGAGGGACGGGACAAGATAGTCGGAAAGGAAGCAGAGAGGTAGTGGTAAAGGTGATAGTAGTATTAGTAATGTAGTCAGTCAAAGACTAAGAAAGAGGACCACTGCAAGGGACCTAGCTCCATTGCACTGATATTAGCATAATTTTTTTCATGATCTATGCATCTCGAACTATATATGAATCTAAATTTATAAATACGCACTTTCAGAATATTCACCATGGACGGGGCCAGCAAAAGGATATATAGATATAAGATGAAGACATAAGGGAATTTTATAATCCATAGGAAATATTTAGAGTTTTATACAAAGAAACGAATAGACCCAGAAATTCACATTATAGCATGTGACTCTGCTTTCCAGAGAATACAACTCAGTGTCCGCAAAACTGTCCTTTCGCATACGACCCTGTGTGTGGATCAGACGGAAATACTTACTACAACTCCTGTTCCCTGGACGTTGAGGCCTGCAACAATCCTCAGCTGAACTTGAGTATTACACATAAGGGCGAATGTCGTGAGTTTTGAAGACAGTGTGATTATGTATATCATTACTTTCATTAAAAAATTAGACTAATAAAAATAATTTTTCATAAATTTATACATTATATTAAATCCAATATACACAAAACCGTATGAGTATGTGAAAGAAAGAGATGAGATACTTTCGTTCTCTTACTTTGCTGCTGGAAAAAGTTCTCACAAGTTTCCTCAAAGAAGCTGATACCCAAGAGATAAATGGGGTCTCATTCTTTCTCTTCCAGCACCACAGTAGCGGGATCATCATAGAAAATGCTAGCTGCATCCCTGGGTTTAGTCAAATTACTTAAGAACTTTGAGTACTCTACAACTTTTACACAGCGGTGGCATTGTAATAAGTGCCTCTTTTCTTTTCAGAGCGGAAAAACAAGTGTCCAGGAGCTTGCAGTTTGTCTGGCAATCCTGTGAAACGGACGGGATAACCTACGGCAAGTCTTGTTTTCTAGGAGTCTTAAACTGTAAGAACCTAACACTGCATTTAGGTGCTTGTATTCGTAAGTTCTGAATTATTTTTTGTATATATTCATGCGTATATATTCTTGCATTAATATTTTTTTATAAATATATTTTGTTTTTTCTCTTTTAAATCTCACTGGGAGAAATCGAGGCATTTGACATAGATGAATGATGGAAATGTTATGCGAAGAATTTAAATATTTTTTTTTCGTACAGCTTATGTACGAATGAAATGAACTGGTCCATAAAATAAATTACGCTTTATAAAAACAAATATAATAAACAAGGGATATGTAAAAGTTGTGGCTCAAGACTTCGATCTCCACACTCACACGAGCGATAATCCGACTTGTTGTCACTGAAGTCTCTTTTACCTTTGACGAATACAGGTACTCTAATACTGAGTGAAACAAGAGAGCTGAGTAACAATGAGCAATGATCTGGAAAAGAAAGTAGATATAAGAAAAAGCCTGGTGTAAGATAAATAACAAAAAGGCACAATACCGTGACTGGAACGATGCACAAATAACCCGCACAAAAAAGAGAGAAGCTTACGACGACGTTTCGGTCCGACTTGGACCATTGACAAAGTCACTTTGTCAATGGTCCAAGTCGGACCGAAACGTCATCGTAAGCTTCTCTCTTTTATGTGCGGGTTATTTGTGCTGGTGTAAGATGCTAGACCATCGAAAACTCCTGGAAGGCTATAACTCTGATACCTGGAAACAGGTAGAGAGTAGTAGGCGATCAACTTAAACTGATGATGGCTGAACTGACTCAATCCCATCTACAATATTTTTCATATGAATAAAAAACAGTAATAGCACTAATATCGATCCTTCCGACACGGCAGTTTTTACTTCTCTTTCCCCTAAGTTACTCTTTAATTCACGGAAGGATGTCCCCTGTTATTCCTGCCTGCACATCAACCTCTTGCTCTAGTCTCATGTCTCAAAAAATACAATCTACCGAACCTTCTCTATCATCACAGGTAGAAAATATGCAGGTATATGGGAGCACTTGTATTAACACGACTTGGTTTTGACAGCTGTGGAGGTAACATGCAATATCCAATACGAATGTTACTTTCAGAACGGATTTATGCCAACAAAGATTTGTTACCATAGTATGCTTTATTTACATTTTATCTCACTTACATAGTCCTTGGTTAGAATAAAATTATAATTAGCACCTTTCTAATAAAATTGTATTGATATTCCTTTCAACACGTTGTTTCCAAACATCTAATTAAGTGGAATTTAAGGAAAATATTTAAATATCCTAAATGCCTCATATTTATGAGTAAAACTTTATCCTGTCTTGAAATAATATTAATTACTGCTTTCTATGTGATTTCTTTTTCCATTTTATACAAAAACTTTACATAATAAAGGAGGCATTTGTTAATTTATATATATAGGATTTAATAATATTAAGACTCTTATGTATTACAGTTATATACAATTTTTCATAAATTGTCTTTGGGTAAAACACAAACTCTCGAGATGATTCAACTACCAAGTCATTTCACACACGTCTCATGTCTCCAGGTGGTGTGAAGATCACCTGAAACACTGGTTTTGAAATCGTTTGTTTTGCTTCGTTGACGATATTGGAGACGTGATATTTCTCATCTTAAATTTCACTAATAAAGCTAGAAGACAATATTTTTGCTTTATTTTTAATACTATCCTTCACTTCATTAAAGTCATGCTACACATGTAATTGACTTACACACAACCAAGGCAGTTGCCACAGAACAACAACAAAAAAAATGAAAATTGAGAGGGACACACAATTTCATTGAGACATTTTTGAACCAGAAATAAATAAATAAATAAAGATAAATGAATAAATAAATAAACATGCCACACGTTTCCTTAAAGAACTGGGTTCCAGACTCATCGACACCACCAGCGCCTCAGCGTGGCCATCCAGAGGGTAAATGCATGCTGAATACTGGGCTCACCTCCAGCTTCGGAGGAGCTGGAGGAGATTCATAACCTTTGATATATTGTACCAGTATATTCATGTTTGTGTTTTATATCAATGTATTCAGTCTGTTAATAAAGTTCACATGTAGCTTAAAAATATAGGGGGTGGTAGGAGAAGAAAATATTCAAACAGCTTCGGGGAGAACCTTGAATTTTCCCTGAGGTACGTTCATTGTCTTCTCTGGGGAGGAGATTTCCCAGTCCAGTTCTAGAGGTGGTACCTCCATGTATTTATATATAAAAAAAATATATATATATATATATATATATATATATATATAATATATATATATATATATATATATATATATATATATATATATATATATATATATGTCGTGCCGAATAGGCAGAACTTGCGATCTTGGCTTAAATAGCAACGCTCATCTTGCCATATAGGACAAGCGAAAATTTGTGTAAGCAATAATTTCGCCAAAATCATTCTGAACCTAACGAAAAAAACATATTTCACTGTGTTTGTTTAGTATTAAATTATTTTAAACAAATCTAAAATATATTAAGTTGGGTTAGGCTAAAATAAATTGTTCCTGTTATAATAAGGTTAGGTAAGTTTTCTAAGATTCTTTTGGTGCAAAATTAAAAATTTTTACATTAACATTAATGAAAAAAATATATCTTTAAACGTATAAGAGAAAATTTTAGAAAGGACTTAATTTTAAATGAGTTCTTGCTAATTGACCAGTTTTACACATTCGGCACGAGATAATATATATATATATATATATATATATATTATATATATATATATAATATATATATATATAATTCGCACACCAGGCGAAATGTTCACAAACGCTAATCTCTGGCCGAAGGAGACTCAAACCTTTGAACAAGGTACGCAGTGCTCACCGTCGTACCACACTGGCCAATACATTGGCGCCCAGCCAACGCTAGACGTTTTGGTCCAAGGTAGCCAGCATTCAGGTAGGTGGTGTTAGATAAGATAAGATTTCGTTCGGATTTTTAACCCCGGAGGGTTAACCACCCAGGAAAGTCAGTGCGTCATTGAGGACTATCTAACTTATTTCCATTGGGGTCCTTAATCTTGTCCCCCAGGATGCGACCCACACCAGTCGACTAACACCCAGGTACCTATTTGCTGCTAGGTGAACAGGACAACAGGTGTAAGGAAACGTGTCGAAATGTTTCCACCCGCCGGGAATCGAACCCGGGCCCTCCGTGTGTGAAGCGGGAGCTTTAGCCACCAGGCCACCGGGCCTGTTTCATCTCATTCCCTGGTGGAGGGGAAGCGAGAGGGGTTGGTGGGGGTTGGGGGGAGTTGGTGTGTTAGTGGGAAGAGGCGGACAAACCGGCGATACATAAGTTTTGTGTAGGAGGAGGGGACCAGGGTAAAGAATATGAAATACGGGTTGGCAAATTATTGCAAGGACATACTGAATCAATGTCATAGGCAGGGGGCGGTGACGGGGGTGTACCTTGTTGATGAAATTGAGGGATTGAAGGAACGGATTAGGAGCATCCATAATGAGCTTTTTGGTGCTGTGAAGGTACAAGCGGCGGTAGAGGTGTCATGGAGTGACAAGCCTTCAGACTGTGTTTCGAGGGTGCAACAGCAGAGGAGAGCAACTACCATACCGAGCTTAGAGGTACATTGCAAGGTCAGGGTCTACAGGAAGGGGCAGGTTTACACAATACAGAGGCAGTGGGTGTGTTTGCAGATAGGTGGTATGAGGATTTTTGGGTGGAAAGGTGTGGGGGAAGGGGACATGGTGGAAGTTGCAAATACCGTGCAACCTGGGGCAGAGTGACAGGAATGCTTTGTGACTGGGGTGATTGAGGGGAGAGAAATTTGGAGTGCTTTGATAGCGATGGCGAAGGATAAATCCCCGGTGTTGGATGGGATTTCGGTGGAATTTTATGTACAACATTGGAACATTTTGCGTGGGTTTTTGGTGTGATTGCTGAATACGATGAAAGACTGAGTAGGCTGGGGTCGGTGAGTCGACGGCAGTGGTAATGTTGGTGCTGAAGGGAGAGAGGCAGAGGAATCTTGGGGATTATGGGGCAATTTCTCTGTTATGTGCTGACTACAAACTGTTTGCCAAGGTGTTGGGAAACCGTAGTAAGTGCATCGTGGATCGTGTAGTCTCACTGGGACAGTATGGCCTTCCGGGTAGGCCAATGTTTGCTGGCCATTCTCTTATTGATGATTTTGTGTGTGACATAAATAGCAAAGGGAGAAAAGGAACTTTATTGACCCTAGACTGGAGAGGGGCATATAATTCTGTTGAACGGGATGCTATGCGAAGAATTCTCATCAGCCAAGGTTTTGGGGAGAAAATAGTGGGGTGGGTTGACACGTTGTACCGGGGAGGGGGGGGGGAACAAAGCGAGGGCTCAAATTAATGGTAGGGTGGGTGGGGTCAGGGCCGGATTACCGCATAGGCAAACTAGGCATTTGGCTAGGGCCCCGCGCATTTGGGGGCCCCGCGGTTCAAGGGGTTCAGGGGCTCATCCAAGACTGCGCACATGGTGCAAGTGCAAAGGGGTCCCTACCTAAAAAGTTCAAGTGTTTGGAGAGTGAAATTGATTTTTAAAAATTAATCAAAACAAAAATAAATAATGAAATAAAATAAAATAAAAATAAATAAACCTAACCATAGATGGCAACACTCAACACGCCTTTGTTTACATCAGAACAGCTGTGTTTTCCCGCTGATTGGTGAGTATGGGAGATTCCTCTCCAATTTTCTGTAGTAATTACACGTTATCTAGACTTGTACTGTGACAAATTAACTGAAGTGTTGTTGATAGACATTGATGTGTATGGATAAATGTTTGTTTTCGCCTCTAAATGTTAAGGGAGGTACCTGATAGGGTTACTTGACCAGTAAAGACGCATGGACCAGTAAAGACGCATTTTTGGTAAAAATACTATAAAGAAAAACATAAAAACGCAAACTGACTTCCGTTAGTAGGTTTTAAAAGCACTTTGTCCTGTCTTTAAGTCTTTATCATTTCAATAACAGATCTCAATTGATTGATGTTCTACATCACTTCCGTCGCAAATGCTTAGTTTTCAAGTTGCGACGGAAGTGATGTAGAACATCAATTAATTTACTACATATTTCCCCAGAAACACATAAGCCACATTAGAAAATCGTTGGTTGGGTGAAACTGAAAATTGTCCCTGAATTCTTTAATTCTCATGTCCTTATCTATGGTGGTAGGCCATATATCATGCAAAACATAATGATTAGTTTAGTTATGAAAGTGGTAATATAAATACCATTGTGCATTGTTCTTGGACTCAGTATGATTTCTGTTTAAGTAAATTGGAGATTAAGGAGGATGAATTAGCAAAATATTCGTAGCCCAAATCACTAACCTAATCTATGGTAAAAGTTCTGTATATGACTCCTTTCTGGTAACGTTTTGAATTTTTAGATGCGCAGCCAGAGGAAAGGGGGCTACAAGGGCCATATCCCCCCAATTGACAGAAAAAAAAATAATAATTAAAAAATTAATAATAATTGATAATGAAAAATCTGTATTTGCATGATTACAGACAGTGATACATCCTCATTATGGCATCTCGTGAACGTGATGTTGGACGTTCTTATGCGAGTGGGTCACAGAAAAGAAAGAAGAAAATTCAAGAAGAGGAACAGAAAAAGAAAGATGTAGGAAGCTGCAGAAAGATCACAGACATATGCTCACGAAAACAGTTTCTGATGTTACCAGTACAGTTGAATCTGCAGATACGTCAGATCATACAGGAAGCCCTCCCTCCATTATTTCTCAGCCAGCATCTACTTCTTTTGTGTCTCCTCTCAATGTCTCAACGGACATTCTGGATTCACTGATTACAGAATTGGTGAAAAGAAAAGAAATCTACCAGAATCTCAATGACAAGTTTGGATTTCTGTTCAAAATTACTACTATGCCAGATGCAGAATTGAGAGAAGCTGCATTAAAGTTGCAACAACACCTTTCAGCACATGTTCAGGACACATTTGTTGAAGAAATAGTTCATTTTTCTGGGTATATGAATCAGATTAAAGCTCCACCTGAAAAATGTGCGCCCTCAGCTGCTTTGAAACATTTAAGAAATGCAGGTATCTCAGAAACCTTCCCTAATGTTGACATAGTGTATCGCCTTTACCTAACACTTCCAGCTACTAACTGTGAAGGAGAACGTTCATTTTCTGTTTTGAAAAGAGTGAAAAACCAGCTCCGTTCAACAATGAGCCAAGACAAATTGTGTAACCTAGCCTTGTTGACCATTGAGTCTGATCTAACAAGAAATATTGATTTTCAGAATATAATTGATGATTTTTGCCAATATGAAATCCAGAAAAAAGTTTATTTAAGAAGTGCCTGTGAATATAAACAATTCTTTACTTTCTTGAGTTTATGTGATTTGATAGTCTTATGCATGATGCAATGATAACAATAATGGTCAGTGATTTATAAAGGGAATAATAGTGCTGTAGTGGTTATGCTGAATATAATAGGTACATGATGTCACTACTTTAATAGCCTAATCTAGTAATACTATGCTGTCTTGAGTTTATTCTCTTTAAAATGCATGATTTAACAAGATAGTTATAATGGCTGTTGGTAAATGGTTTTGGTTGTCTTGATGTACTTTCCCTATTAAATTTAATCTAAATAGCCAGAAAAATATA